GGGGAAAATCCCCCACACAAGGTTAGGCCAGATACTTACCTCGAACCAAGCTCAAACAGTCCGTAAGAATGTCCTTTCCTCAATTATCCGACTCCGAATGCCCCAAATCTAGCCAAACACAATTGCATAACATGAATACAACAATAATAAACTTATCTAATCAATGAAATCAATATTTAATAAAAATTCCGAAATTCGCCCTAAAAAGTCGATCCGGGCCCACGTCTCGAAATCGGGTAAAAGTCACAAAATACGAACACCCATTCACTCGCGAGTTCACTCGTACCAAAATTATCCAAATCCAATGTCTAAATCCCAATCAAAACTCAAAACTCTTAGTTGAAGAACTTCTTCCCATTTTTCCTAAATTTTCAATCCAAACCCGAAATTAAATGGAGAAAACAATTATGGATTAATGGAAAACAACCAAAAACGAATTAGGAATCATTACCCCAACGTTTCCTCTGAAAAACCCTCGAAAAATCGCCAAATTCCGAGCTCTCAAGTCCAAAAACGAAGAATGAAACCAAACCCTCGGATTTCTTTTTTCTGCCCAGGCGTGACCGCATCTGCGCGACCGCAAGTGCGCGTGTCCAACCTCACCTGCGCTTCCTCTCGCTTCTGCGGAGCCGCTGATACGCACAATTTCTCTGCACCTGCGGAGACTGTCAAGTCTAGCTCTTCTCGCACCTGCGCCTCAATCTTCGCATCTTCGGGCATCACAGATGCGGAATTTTTCTCGCACCTGCGGCCCCCTGGCACTCCTCCATTTTTCCTCTTCTGCACTTGCCTCTCCGCACGTGCGCTCTCGCACCTGCGGTCTCTTCTTCGCAGGTATGGAAATACCAGAAGCCTGAAGACTTAGCAGTAACACAAATCAAACTTTTAATCCGTTAAGCACCTGAAACTCACCCGAGGCCTCCGGGACCTCAACCAAACATACCAACCAATCCTAATACACCATACAAACTTAGTCGAGCCTTAAAGTCACATCAAACAACGTCGAAACCATGAATCGCACCATTAATCAAACTTATAAATTTCAAATCTTTCAACTTCTAAAACTCGTGCCGAAACCTATCAAATCAATCCGGAATGACGTCAAATTTTGCAGGCAAGTCCCAAATAACATAACGGAGTTGTTCCAACTCTCGGAATCGCTTTCCGATCTCGATATCAAAAAGTCCACTTCCGATCCAAATCTCCAAAAATTCAACTTTCGTCATTTCAAGCCTAAATCGGCTACACACCTCGGATTTACAGTCCGGACACGCTCCTAAGTCCAAAATCACCCAACGGAGCTAATGAAACCGACAGAACTCCATTCCGGAGTCATCTTCACATAGTTCCGACTACAATCAAAATTCTAAGACTTAAGCTCCCGTTTTAGGGACTAAGTGTCCCAAATCACTATGAATCATCCGGTATTGAATTCAACTACGCACGCAAGTCAATACACATAATATGAAGCTGCTCAGGGTCTTATGCCACCGAACGAGACTTAAGTTCTCAAAACGACCGGCCGGGTCGTTACAATTAAAAAGATAATTATTATTGAAATATATATTAAGTTTTAAAAATTGAAATTTCAAAATAGAAATATTTTTTGAAAGATAATATCATACAAAATAAGAGTTCAAGTCGTAGTATATGAGTCATGTCATAATCAAAGAATCGTTTATATTTTTTCGAATTGTTTGTTGACACAGACAAAGTTAGGGAAAACCTCTGAATTTATTTCAATATTGAACCTTGGACATATAAGAGTTCCGAATCTTGTTAACCTTTGTGCTTTGCCATAAATATGAGTTATTATTTCGCTTTGTGGCTATTTTTAGGTTCCAATGACAATAGTGCTAAAATAAAATTATCACTACGAGATTTAAAAAAATATTAGTCTTTTTTATGTAGTGTTTCTTAATTAATATCTAACGATTACCTATAATTATTTAGAAGGTTTAAATTTTAAGATTATTTACATATAATTCAAATAACTCAGATATTTAACATGATTAATGTCAAATATCAAAATTGAGTCATACTGAAAAAAATAATTCACTGGCTAAAGAATTTTTTAAATTTTTAGATAGCCATCTAAAATGAGTTTTGAATTAAGGATAATATTTTCACTTACATTATTATAAAAATAATTATTATTGAAAATTAAAGTTTTAGAAACTGAAATTTTTAAAAAGAAATATTTTTTAAGAGATATCAACACACCAAATAAGAGTTCAAGTAATAGTAACAGAGTCAAGTCGTATCCAAAAAGTCATTCATAGTCTCAACATTTGATTGTTTTGCCATAAATATGAGTTATTATTTTACTTTCTGACTATTTTTAGGATCCAATGACACCGGCGAGAATGATATCAAAAAAAATATATAGAAGAAATGATTAAATTTTTTCATGTAGTATTTTTATTAATATTCAATGATTATCTATATTTACCGAGAAAGTTTAAATTTTAAGTTATTTACATATAATCCAAATAACTTAAATATTTGACATGATTAGTGTTCGCGCATCCGCGCGAGTGCTAATACTAGTTGAGAAGAAAATAACAAGGAGAAAAGCCTTGATGATCTAATGAAATTAGAATTATATGGGATTTACTTCCACCCTTCATCTCGTGGCATAAGAAAATAAAAGAGATTATAGTCATCACTAGGGGTGGCAATTTGAGCTCAAACCCATTTGATCCGTTCAAGCCGCTCAAGGTTGGGTTGGCCATTGACCCTCCCTTTGTTGAACTCAGCCCACTTTGACCCAACCCATTTTAGCTTATCTAAAGTTGGGCTAATTTTTAGCTCAAATTGATCAATGAGTAACTTTGTTAAAATATCTTAAAAATTATTTCTTTTGTTTAATATATTATATATGACCAAAGTCTTATTTGATAATTAAATAATTAATTAAAAAATAATACATATTAATTAAAGCTTGTTAAGAGTTGCGCGAGTTGGACAATGACCTAATTTTTAGCCCAACTTAACCCAATCAATCTCAACTCAAGTTACTTTTGGACGGATCATTTATTGACTCAGCAATTTTGACTCGCTTAAAATCAATCCAGCCCGCCCATTTGACACTCCATCGTGTATAGTAATGAAAATTATGAAATTATAGATAAAATTGAATGCGCACAAGAAATAAATAAAGGCACCTATAATGTAATTATGAACCTTTAAAGGAGCTCATACAACTATCAGAAACTTTTTGAGCCTAAATGGAAATATTCTTTCTTTCTGAACTCCAATTTCTATTTCACGCTTTTCCTCTAAGTCCCCCAAAAGAAAACGAAAATCACCTCCAAGTCCACGACCCTATTGCTTCATTTCATTTCTCATCCATTCTCGAGCTCGCAAAATCCCTTTCTCTCAAGTCTCACACACACAGAAGCTGCTCCAAAATCTGAAATGGCGACACTAGGTAGGTTATCGAGAAGAGTCATAGTAACAATTCTCTCCGGCCACCTCCGCTGCCACCAGAATCACAATCTCATCCGCCGCTCGCTGGCGACGGAGGCTCAGGCGGCAATAAAGGAATCTCCGGATCGAGTGAAGTGGGACTACAGAGGACAGAGGAAGATCATTCCACTTGGCCAGTGGGCCCCGAAAGTCGCCGTCGATGCCTACGTGGCACCGAATGTGGTCCTTGCTGGTCAGGTGACAGTATACGACGGCGCGTCCGTTTGGAACGGCGCCGTCCTTCGAGGAGATCTCAATAAGATTACAATAGGGTTCTGCTCTAGCATTCAGGAAAAGTGTGTGGTTCACGCTGCTTGGTCTTCTCCTACAGGTAAATTTACGCTATTTGTCGATAAGATTTGAGTTTATATTTCATCACAATGAGCTTATTATGCTGATTAAATTGATGTCTTATTTCCAATTTATTTGAAATTTTGTTTATTTTACGGAATTTCAGTATTTCATTGCTTAGGTGAAGTTAATCTGTTGGATATTGATAGTTGAGTTACATGTTTTGCGAGAAAATTAGTAGTGTGTAAAGGTACTTTAACTATGTTGCTGAGAACAAATTGTATTTAGAAGGATTTTGGAACTTAGTGAGGAATGTTGCCTTTGAGTCTGAATGATGTTTCATGTTCTAAAGTCAAATGTCTACGTGAACTTATGGAATCTGGAAACCTTGTTGAATGTTCATTGATTAGGACCTTACAATCGAAGCAGTCCATCCTGTCGGAAGCTTTCCAAAACATAGAAAGCTTGTAAGTCAAGTGAACAATTGAATCATAGTTTTGGTAGTTGGTTCAATTAGGGACAAGTGTTGCACTCTTTATCTATCTTGTCTTTTCCACAAAAGAGGGGAACTTCCCTGAAATAAAACTGACCAGACAACGCGGTGCAACTGATATTTCTAATGCACAAAAAGTATACTGTAGATCCCAAAGTATGCTAATTGCAGCAAGACAACATAAGCCCCTATATCCAATGTTTTGAAGTGAAACTGAAAATTTTCAAGGGTTCGGGGCTCTAAGCAAGAAGTGAGAAGCAAAATGTACACGTTATTGAAGTGAAGTGGTTTCCAAAATGAAGGAGGATTAGGGGAAGAAGGTCGTTACAGGAAATGTAACTTCGATGCTCTAGAAAATTGAAGACGTGCTCTAGTGGGATGCCATTTATGTGCTGGAGGATAAGGTCATCGCAGTAAAGTTCTAGAGAAAATGCAACTTCAAATAACTAAGAAGAGGAGTAGGAGAGGCCGGTTTTGAAGCCCTAGTTTTGGTAATATTTAGTCGGATTTTTTATTTCTTTTTGCTTCTGATGCAAGTGCTAGATAACACAGAAGTGCACATGTCTTGCTCTGTTGTTATCGCTTCAGCCCTAATAGCAGTTTAATCTCACTTTGCCTCACTTCGACTCTCAGAATCAAGCGGGCCTTGACTTTGAATGAGAACACAACTTTCTTAGTGATTTACAATGTTGAATAGAAAAATCCTCAGGAAAATAAGGAAACTATCATTAAGAACTATTGATTGCTTGTTGCTTTTCACAAGATCAGCATATTACTAGCGGGAAGTGAGTCATTATGAATACATATACAGAAGTAAGCGAAGTTCAGTGTTTAAGCAGGAACACGATCTAAAATGTGGGACGGTAAATGCTCTCGAAAGCGTGTTTGTCATATATATTCTACAATGATAAGTTATTTTGACAAAAAATATGGTTGGAAATTAGGATTTTTTTGTTTACACCTATAAAAATGTTTCTCTAAATGTTATGCCAAAACAGTAAGCATATATATTAGTGGTGTCTGGACAAGCTTACGCGCACCTCGACTAATTCCACAGGATATCTGCCACCTCCCATCAGGTATCCCCAAGGCTTGGACGGATTGGAAGAAATCACCTAGTGCTTTTGCCTCTGTTGAAATTTGAACCTGAGACCTCAAGATTCTCAACCCACTTCATTGACCACTAGGTCACACCCTTGGGTGGATCACTAATATATTTTTACCTTGGCAGTAGTTGATTTTAATTTGCTTATTAAGTCTCAGTTGCCTGCTCATGGGCTTCAATATGAGGGATTTGTAGAATTTGTGAAGGGGTTATGGAAACTTTAGAAAGACCTCGAATAGATCTGACCTAAGAATTGTGGAAGTCAAAATGGTTAATTACATAAACTTTGATTCAGGTTTTAGCATGCTATACCTATAGCCACCTGCTGCCTGAAACATTGTAACCTCTCTCTTTTCAGGACTTTGTCTAGCGACTATGTTTCAATCCACAAGCAGACAGATTTGCCTTTCGATAAAATACTTCTTTTTTATTTGGGTAACAAACAAATACATTTTCTTAGTATTTGCTTATGAATTTAATCCTTCCATGACGTTTTATCTCTTCTAACTGAATCCACTGTTCTCTAAAAAGAAGAAATAATAATTAAGCAAGCAATGAATAGCCTTCTTAGGTTCAAATCACAGTGGGCGCAAAAAGTACCCGATGATTTCTTCCTATCTACCTAAACATTACCGGGACAAAGTTACCCGGTACTTGCGCTGGTGGGAAGTAGCAGGTACCCGGTGAAACGGTCGAGGTGGGCGTAAGCTGGTATGGACACCATCATCATTCTAAAAGAAAAAGAAATTAATCAATCAATTGCATCTCAAGTCCAAAGTCCAAACTATTTGGGTTGGTTGATGAACTCTCTACATCCATTCTGTTCTAATTGAGCTCGTTTCATTCCAATACTAGTAATTATTTTATCTTGTAAGGTAAATTAGAGTTCTCCAAAAATAGAGCTTATGTAAATCTCACGCTTATCTTTATGTTTACATAGAAGTGTTCCTTACCCAAAAAAAAGTGTACTTAGAAGTGTATAGCCAGACTAAAAAGACTGATGACAAATACTGAACCTAATGTGAATGTGATGACAGTAACTAATCTGTAATCCTGTCTAGTTGGTCAAAAATATAAAGAAATGTAAATCTCAAACATATAATTATGAAGAAACAAGTAATAGTCAAGCTGAGAAGAAAGAGAAATAAAGACTGAGCAATTCCATGGGGAAAGATCCCATATGGTGAGTTGCAAACTGCAAAGGGAAGAGAAAGACGACCTAAGACTCTTTGGTAGGAGGAAAAAGTATGACTATGAGGTAAAGAGGGTCTAAGGCTCTTTGCTAGAAAAAATAAGAGGTAGCCATGAAGGAGATTGTAGTGGCTTGGAGGAAGGAGAATTTAAATAACAAATTATAAAATATAGGGACGTCTGATTCAAATTCTAGGTAAAGATTATTGTTTTTCTAGTTTTTTATCGGTGATTATTGTTTTTCTATTAAAAAAACATAAAAGAAGAAGAATCCGATTTTTGGCATACGCAATTCAGTTTATTATGTGGTAGGTGGGTGGGGGCTGTGGGATGCTGTATCCTCACAGGGGGTAACATAACTTATGCAGACATGCCTCTCATATTCATGTTTTATGCTGCTGGTTGATGTAATGAGTAACCACTGAAATCTTGGCACTGCTGCATAGTTCATCCTACTATAGAATAAAACTGAAGAAAATGACTGCTGCCTCTCACTGTAACATTGAAATGACAAAACTACCCAAAGAATTATAAAGAAATGACAGCAACAACAGTGTGTTTGAATGACGTATCACATTTTCTGTTAGCAACTTAAATAATATCTGAAAGAATGCAGTATTGAAGTTCGGACTTTGGTCTTCCCCTTGAAGGCAGATCCAAATTTTCTTGGGATTTTGCTGATTATGTTCTTATACAACTGCTACGTTATTTAAAACTTGAAACAGTTATCACGTTCTTAATGTTATGTGGTTTAGAATTGATTTAACACTTTAAAGGACCAATTTTAGTTTATGCCTGGTAAGTTATCAAAGAGGTTATGGATTTGCTATGAAGTTTGATGAAAATATTTAGGGATAGGAAGAATGATCTTCAGATGATATTCAGTGACCTAGAGAATCCATATGATTAGAGTGTCGAGAGAAGTCCTTTACTAGGTATTTCTTGGAGCATTCTGAGGTGACCAAACCTCTATCAGTCTTATCCTCAAGTAGGTTGATTTCTTTTTCCTAGTCCAACTAAGATTTGCAGCTAAGCAGAATGATATATTATCTATCTTTATCTGTTCCTAGCCGATCAAGGTGCATTTTCTTTGGAAAATACTTGTATGTGACACTTCAATTTTTGCTGTTCGTTTAACAGGGCTGCCAGCAGAAACATTAGTAGACAGGTATGTTACAGTTGGTGCATACAGTCTGTTGCGATCCTGCACAATTGAGCCTGAATGCATTATTGGCCAGCACTCTATCCTTATGGAAGGTTCATTGGTGGAGACTAACTCTATTCTTGAAGCTGGGTCGGTGCTCCCACCTGGGAGGAGGATTCCAAGTGGTGAACTCTGGGCAGGGAATCCCGCAAGGTTCGTCAGGACCTTGACCCATGAAGAGATAAAAGAGATACCGAGGCTTTCTGCTGCAATAAATGATCTGGCCAATGCTCACCACTCAGAATTTCTGCCTTACTCCACCGTATATTTGGAAGTTGAGAAGCTTAAGAAGTCTTTTGGAATTTCAATTTAGAATTTTTGTTTGATTGATTGTACTTGTTGGGAGGTTTTCTTCGGAGAAAATAAGAAAATTGTAAGACTCTTTAAGTGAAACTTAGAGTCTCTTGTTTTTAATGTGATTCTGCAATCCGGCAAAGTGAATGTTTGTTCTCCGTTCAAGGATTTTCTTCTGACACTCGATGTATTTGGTCATCAATACATTTTATGTTTTCCAGAAGCTTGAATGTGCTTTGACTTTTCCTGTACCAAATTAAATGAAGAGCTATAGGTAACCACATTAGTGTAGAGGCGGATTCAGGATTTAAAGTCTTCGAGTTCAGTCTCTAAGTTTATGGGTTCATATTAGTTATTTGTTACAATTCTGATGATTTTTTGTTTATATATATATATTAAAGCAAGAAAGTTATTGCATTGTGATTAAGCCAAGTGGCAAGCTAATAAATGCAAAGNCGGTGCTCCCACCTGGGAGGAGGATTCCAAGTGGTGAACTCTGGGCAGGGAATCCCGCAAGGTTTGTCAGGACCTTGACCCATGAAGAGATAAAAGAGATACCAAGGCTTTCTACTGCAATAAATGATCTGGCCAATGCTCACCACTCAGAATTTCTGCCTTACTCCACCGTATATTTGGAAGTTGAGAAGCTTAAGAAGTCTTTTGGAATTTCAATTTAGAATTTTTGTTTGATTGATTGTGCTTGTTGGGAGGTTTTCTTCGGAGAAATAAGAAAATTGTAAGACTCTTTAAGTGAAACTTAAGAGTCTCTTGTTTTTCATGTGATTCTACAATCCGATAAGTGAATGTTTGTTCTCTGTTCAAGGATTTTCTTCTGACACTCGGATGTATTTGGTCATCAATACATGTTATGCTTTCCAGAAGCCTGTATATGCTTTGACTTTTCCTGTACCAAATTAGATGAAGAGCTATAGCCACATCAGTGTGTAAAGTCCTCTGGGCTGCTCTGGTAATAGCATCGGACCTTGAATGGCCTCATGAGCGAGTCGTGAGCATTGTGGTTTTGCGTGTAAGCATAAGAAGTTCAATCTGTCGATTGTTCTCCAAATTTGGAGGGGAAGGAATATGAAATGTAGTAATATATGATTTTTACAAGTCGAAATCTATTTTTCGGGTATCTTGTATTGATCTACTTGTGTGAATGGTCATTTTTTCTCTACTGATGATGCTTAAGATTTGTCTCGAAGTGTTACTAGGCATTACTTTTTGACGAAATGCTAGCAAATTAACATCATCGGATTTTAAATTAGCACGATCTAATTCACAAATTTCACCCAACTCCTCTAACATTACTATATTTTTTACAGTAGTAGGATTACTAAAATAATTAAGTGATCATCAGATGGAAGCCGGCAGAGGCAATGTGCCTTTTATTCCAAGTTCAAGACCATAGAAAAAACGCTTGTGAATGTGCAAGGGTCAAATACCATCTTTTCCAATTAATTTCTTTGGGCCACATTTGTTGCAGGTGGATACGAGTTCTGCACAGAAAGGGACAAAAGAATTAGGTGAGCATATTTATTCTTATTTTTTTGTTTAAAAGGTTAGGGAATCATTAGTTTCTCTATGTCTTTTTAGCCCATATAATCACCAATCAGAAAAAGAATTCCAATGATTATATATAGAACAGGCCATCAACTAGATATTCTTGCTAGTATAATAGGTCGTACGAACTAATAATTGTGAAGCAATTAAACAATTTGCTTCCACATTTCTTGTTGAGTTGTTATGTACAGCCAACGAACACTACCAGATCCAATGTGATCCTTGTTTGGTTATCTTAAAGTCTACATTTTCAATAGCATTGTACAAGGGATACGATAATATTTTATATCAATGTTGGTGATTGAATTCCATTTTATATGCAACAATTGAACAAGTCTACAGATAAGGCTAAAGTAGAGAGAATATGGTAAAAATAGAACGGGCTAGTCAGTTTTCGGACTGGTAATTGAAAAATAGTCAGCGTTTGCAAAGTCATTAAAAAATAGCCACTATTTTGCTGCAACACGGAAAGTTCCAGTATAATATACTAGAGATTGGAGCACCCGTATATGAACTTCCAGCATATTATGCTGGACCAGTATATTATGCTGAAAGTTCACATGTAAAAAATTCGAACTCCAGTATATTATGCTAGAATATTTTCCGGATTTTGAACAGTGTTTTCGTTCAGATTTATCTTTACATGAAAAGTGGCTAAATTTCGATTACTTTTGAAACTGTGGGTATTTTTCAATTACCACTTGTAAATCTGGTTATTTTTTAATTTCACCACAATTGTTTTTTGGGGGTAAAATCTAAGGTAAAATAGAATAAGAGATTAGTCATATTCCTTTTCCTTTATTCGAAAACGTGATTCCACCACTGTTTAAACCATATTTGTGAGTGTGGTTATACAGAATTTAGGGAGAGAAAAAAATACATATTTAAGCAAAATATACGATCTATTATAATGACATAATGGTGATGGCGTATTGACAACTATGAAAAAGCACATTTATAAATGAAAATTAGGTTAGGTTAGCAACAAGTTGACAAATGATTAAAAAGCAATCTTTGTAAATGCAAACAGAAATATAATTGAGGGAGAGGGAACCTATTTTTGTGACATTTTAGGTGTTTATCATCAACCACTACGTATGTCGTGGAAAGCTCATTTGACTTAATCTTATGTTTTTTTTACTATAAATTCCAATAATACTATTTTTCTTTCTTATTAGTTATTCCCTTTTCTCCTCTCTAAATTAGGGTTCCATCATTTTCTACCATAAACATGCCGGCTATTAGAAATATTGCAACAACAAGCTCTTAGTTTTTGATGATCTACAACATATGAAGTGGAAAGGTAAATTAAAAATCTCTTATTCTTTTTTATTTTTCTCTTTGTATTTAGCAGCATATGTAAAGCTTGTAGAATGATGTTGGAATGACTCAATCAAATCAAATTCCCCAAACATTTTGTGTCATTTAATTTGATTGAGCCGTGCCAATATCATCTTAGCCTCTTCTACCCTTTTTGTTATCTTTTCTTTCCATTTCTTTGACAAAAATGGTGAAGCTTATGCTGATCCTGATCAAGTAAAAAGATAATGTTTTGTTTACATATATTGTCTCTAATCTCTAATAGAACAAAGAATATTTCAATATGTCAATGGGGTTTTACCTTCTTGTCATTTTTTCTTCAAATATTGGACAAATAATTTTCAGTAGTTTTTCTTTTCCCGTACCACTAATATTAGTATCACTTCTGTATTTTCTTATTTTTTGATTTCTATCACCGCCTATTATTTTTTATTTCGGTTATCTTATTTTCTTGTTGTTGTTACTGTTTCTTTTTCCATGGCTTCTATACTACCATATTTCTTTTTCATGACTGCTGTGATTATGATTTCCTTGAGCCAAGAGTCTATCGGAAACAACTTATCCACCTTCGCAATGTAGGGGTAAGGTCTGTCTATACACTACCCTCAGCAGACCCCACTTGTGGGATATCACTGGGTATGTTGTTAATGTAGTTTGATGTTCATATTGTAGATGATATTATTGGGATAACATTTGAGATTGTATGGATTATAATGGTACGTAAACTTAGTCTGGCATTCTGATATGAAATTTGTAGCTTAAAAGTAACATGAAATATGAGGAAAATTGTTCTTGTACCATAACAATTAAATTTTTCCTTTTCAAGAAACTATATAGGAGTATGATTCTTAGCATATCATGGAACAATAACACCTCGTAATTTAGGATGTGAAGAGAACTTTTTAGTTGGATAAGTTTTTTATGTTCTAGTGTAGTAAAGTTAAATGTATCAATTAACATTGTTTGTAGTGTCTAAGTTGGGGCACAGAAAATGATTATGATACCCTAAGACTATTTTGTATGGAGTATAACATTTGTTAAATTTTTTTGTAATTTTGTTTTTTGGTATTTGGTTGTCTAAAACTGTTATTTAATACAACTTGTTTATGTCATACGCACAGAAACAACTTATATCTTTTTTAAGCATAAACTATTAGCACGTAAAAATTGGTATTAAACTTATTGATTATTACCGAACAAATCGATATGCATCCTAATGTCCCATATTCGCACTTCACCAACTTCACATTTTGGAAACGTAGCAGGGAAAAAGAAAAATAAAGCTTCATCCAGTGATTCATTATATATGCTTCTTACTTCTTAGGATGTAATAACAAATATTTAATCATAATCCTTTTTTGCTGCTTAAAATGTTAATAACCGTTGATATGTTACAGACAATGAAGTCGTGTTAAATTTTAAGGCATTCTGGACAGTAAATTACACACATTCTTCTTGTATTCAACATTGATTTGAGTCTGATTCGAAGAAAGCTTGAATAAATGCTACTAATCAGGTTTTCGTGCATTCTCTTAAGTCAGCTTCGTAGGTTGGAGGTTCCTATTTGCATTCAACTTTTTCTTGTTGGTTTCTCTTGGAGTGATTCAAGCGCTCTTAACCGGAAATAACATTAAAAAAAAAGAAGTAAAAACGTACCATAGTAGATCTATGATTTGCCTGATTTGCCCTCCGTCAAACCATTTATAAAACATATTAGATACAGGGGCGGACCCACATAAGGTCAAAAGGGTTCAAATGAATCCGCTTCCTTGAAAATTTTGATATTTTACATAAGTTAAATTCTGTAAAATGAGAATATATGAACCCATTTTATATAAGTCCATCCAGTTGAAAAAGTGGTCTAGCGGGTTCGAGGTTAACTAAAGTGTCTCGAGTTCGAAACCTAATGGTAGCGTTTTTAGTTTTGTTCCTGTGTGCATATTAAGTGCACGTGCATGTCCCTTTAATGCCAAAGGGCCTAATAAATAGCTTGCATTGTTAGGTAATTCTTTTTTTAAACGAATAGCCAGCTACTTTATTCCCTTAAGTGTGCTTTTATTTTCTTTTATCTCTATTTTATTTTCTATATGATCCTCTAATGAAATCCAATAAGAATTAATCTCCGGTCTATTTAACTTCAATAGATGAAATCTTACAGTATTTTTTGCTAAAATATGCAAGTGCATATCTTGAAATTATTTGTAATGTGTTAGTTCATATTAAACTAGGTTATCTTAAATTGTTTATTTTTATTACAATTAAATTGTTAGTTCACTTTATAAGCTATCTTCTCTTATAGTTACTAGTTTATTTTAAGTTATAACTCTTTATTTTCTGTTG